TATTATTTATTAGCATGTACTTCCAATCGATTCTTATTTGTGATGAGATAGATATAAAGTGGGCAGGTCCTGCTACTTACATATTTTTTATTACTATTACTTTTTTTGACTTTATTTATGACTTGATGTGAATTTTTTTTTTTTTAATGGCTTTTGAGCAGGAGTATTTAAAGCCTTTGTTGAAGTACAAATTATACTTTTTTGAGTAGTACAGCATATAGGTATACAATATTTAATGAGTCCTCAGATTCATATCTGGAAATATGAAAAACGAATTATTTCCTAAACGATTTCATTAGTTAATTTTGATATGCGAGTATATTAATTGCAATAATCTTAATCTTCGTATATACCTAATTTATATAAAACGTTAAGCTAATTTCGTTTTTTTTGATCAACCTTGTGTTTAGACCCATTAATTCTAAACAATCTTAATTTATTATCGTTAAGAAAATGTATATGTATTCTTGGCGGATTTAAATATTATTCCAACTATAGTGAGGAGTTTGATCATATACAATTGCATTATCTTTAAAAGTTTCTAGCGAAACTCAATTCCTATACATCTAGGTAGCTTTCTGAAAGCAAAAAAAAAAATACACATTACGAGATATAAAAAGCATGAGATGCACAAATATTAGTACAACTAAATGGTAGTCGAATGAAATTTCGAAAACTCGGCGCAATGTTTACACAGCAAATAATATATACTGAATGATAGATAAATTCATGAAACATATACATATTTAATTGTTTTTTTTTTTCTTCAAATCTCTTGTTCTCAATAAGTTTGTAAAGAAAGTATAGATCTCACATCCTCAGTAAATCTTAATGCATCAAGAAAGGGTAGCAAATCTAACAGTGCTTCATCATGTTGGTCGCTGATCCAACCTTCGATTGGTATACCGTTTTCTGTAAAGAAAAAAAAAAAAACGGCATGATAAATTTGAACAAGGAGTTATTATTCTAATTATTTACTGGTTACCTTGGCGCTTCGATTAAGAAATAATACAAAACAAGTTCAC